TAATAAACTTTTCTAAGATCTTCCCCGGGATAGAAGTCAGGCTGATGGGCCTATAGTTAGCCGGATCCACTTTCCTCCCTTTCTTGAAGATAGGCACCACATTGGCCTTCTTCCAGTCTTCGGGCACTACACCAGAGCGCCAAGAGTTTTCAAAGATCCGTGCTAGAGGCTGGGCTATGATGCTCGCCCGCTCCTTGAGTACCCTGGGGGGAAGATTGTTAGGGCCGGCTGACTTGAAGGTATCCAGCTTCTCAAGATGTTCCTTCAGAAAGTCAGCATTAATGGAGGGCAGGGGATCACCCTCACCCGGACTTCCCGGCCCTGTAGCGGGCATGGGCGTCCCATGGGACTGATGAAAGACTGACGCAAAGTACCTATTTAATAGGTTGGCTTTTTCCTGGGCGTCAGTTGTCAGTTGCCCCATCTGGGTCAGCAGGGGTCCAATGTTGCCCCTGCTTTTCCTCCGGCTCCCCACATATCTGAAAAAGGACTTCTTATTGTCCTTGATGCTCAAAGCTAGCTGGAGTTCAGTTGCAGCCTTGGCTTTCCTGGTCTGCTCCCTACAGGACCGGACCAGTGCAGAATAATCCTCCTTGGAGGTGACTCCCATCCTCCATCCTTTGTAGGCCTTTCTTTTTAGCCTCAGGAGATCTGCTAGGTCCCTGGAGAGCCAGGGGGGCTGCTGTGCCCTCTTGCTGCCTTTCCTCCGAGATGGAATAGACTTAGTTTGTGCATTGAGGATCGCTCCCTTGAGGAGCAACCACTCCTCTTGAACTCCCCTCTCCCTGTGGTCACGGTCCCTTAGGGCCTCACTGACAAGCTTCCTGAGCTTGTCAAAGTCGGCTTTCCTGAAGTCAAGGACTTGCGCGTTGCTGACCGACTTGCCAGCTTTTCGGCGGATGGTGAAGGTGATCATGGTCGCTGTCACCCAGCTTCCCTTCGATCACTAGGTCGCCGACTAGGTCATCCCCAGTAGCCAGTACCAGGTTGAGCAGCGCTTTGCCTCTCGTTGGCCCATAGACTTCTTGAGTCAGGTAGAGGTCATCCACGCACGAGAGGAAGCTCTGCGACCGCTCAGATTTTGCTGAGCGATCCTCCCATGAGATGTCTGGGTAATTGAAGTCACCCATGACAACCATGGTCCTGGAGCAAGCTGCCTCAGCCAGTTCCTGGGCAAACTCCTGGTCAAGCTCAGGACTTTGGGTGGGAGGTCTGTAGTAGACTCACACCATTGTGTCCCCTGTGCCGTGTTCCCCACGGATTTTAACCCAGAGGGTCTCCAGCCATCCACCCTGGTCGCCAATATCGGCTTGCAGGGACGTGTAGCTTTCCTTAACATAGAGAGCTACACCCCCGCCCCTTTTCTCTACACGATCCCTCCTGTACAGGGTATAGCCATCTATCCCCGTGGTCCAGTCATGGGTGGAGTCCCACCAGGTCTCCGTTATCCCTATGACATCGTAATTGTTTGCACTGAGCATGAGGATGAGCTCCTCCTGTTTGTATATATAAAAAAAATATTCAATTGCTGTATCCGTTTAAAGCCCAATATGTATGTGATCCATAACAGGAATTATCTACCCTGCAATAATGCAGAAACAGATTCAGGTGAATAGTGTAGTCTCCCATTCTTTCACACACACGTGTTTAAATTCCTTTAGGCCATGAAATCCCACTCAACTTCAAGCATGCATACATACTGAGGTGTTGTCTTTTCAAACGAGAAATGTTACATACACTTATGCAGACATTGTTCATGGGTTGCTATACAATACAGACAATCAAAACTATAAAAGTGCATGCTGTAGTTTTAGTTTAAAACACACTGATGACATTTTGTAACACCTAACCGTATGCAGTTTATGAATTACTATGCTGTAACTGTTTGCCTATACTAAGACATTGACCAAACTTCTCAGAATTTTCTAAGGCAAGGGACACTTAAAACATGTTAAGTATGTTATATAGGAAAAAAGCTAATTTATGGACCAGTGGGCATTATCCAATATGGGAAGTCCCATCTAATGGTAAGTCAGAAAATAAGGAAGTCTTTTGCTGGATTTCTCAGCATGTTAAATCTTTTAATTGACACCTCTGAAGGACAACTCAGAAACTGGTTCTCAAGAGGCCTAAGAATAAAGAAAGCCTCCTGAAACTTCCAGCTTTTTGTCTAGCACCACATCCTCTCTGAAGATTAAATCCTCAAATACTCATTTGGGACCTGATTTTGAAAAACAGGCTTATAATGCCTCATCATTGTGCTCTGTAACTCCAGAGGAAAAGTAGAGAAAAAGTGGTTGGTATGAAACTTGCACTTTTCTTGTACTCTTTTTCTTTTGATAAGGTGCTCAGTTATTAATGCTGCACAATATACCCTGCTTCTGAGATGTCGGAAGAGTCTTTTAGTCCTTTAAGAAGCTAACTGGTAAGGGGGTAAATTCAGCAAGATTCAATTGATTAACTAGTCAGCAATCAATTTATCTCCCCTTACCGACAAAGTGGAATACTGAGTGATCTTAGCTTGATCATTAGTTTTATTACTCAACGGAGCCAAAGGGCTTGTATTTAGAATGTTCTTTTCTCCTAGCTCCTATTACTCAGCAATTAAATCTGATTTTCACAAGACCAGGGAAAGGCACATCTAGGGACTGTATTCCTGTCAAATGACAAGTTTCTATCAAAACGCAAGGCTGCAGAAAAACTTTTTTTTTTAAACTCTTTCCAGGCTTGAGGTTAATTTATTTATTTTTGGTGAAGCTTTCAGGGTAAAAACATGTTCTGTAACTGAACCTGTGCATTAAATATCCCACAGAAAGGATTTTACAAAAAGGTAGAAAAGAAAGACTGCTTAGAATCAAAATAATCAAGGACGTTCAGCCATATGTGTTGCCACTTCTAACAACATACACAGGCAAACAGACATACAGAAGTGCATGTATACATCCAGTGTATGTCCACTCTCAGTATGAGGGACGGGGTTCAAGTGTTCTGAAAAATTCTTGTATAATTACATTCCTAAGCCGGTCAATATTTTTGGCATCTAAAGCTACTGATTTGCTAGAGATTCTTAGATTAATATACGAGAAGCAAAGGCTTTTTTTGTGATACCTTTCATTTGAGCAACTGCATCGACGAGTGAGAGATTAGACAAGCTTTCATGTACAAACTGCCCTTCCCAATCTAAGCCCCAAAGCCTGTCTAACCTTTCCCCCAACTGTACAATTTGTCCAATAAAAGATATCATAAAAACCCTTTGTGTCTCATATATTTCCTGAAGCATTACAGCAATAACAATACTTTACTTCCACTACAAATGAATATGTAAACTAAACCTCATCCTCCTCTGCACAGATTCGCAGACACTGAAGCAATTTGAAAGCAAAATCACCTTTCTTCAGTGTGAAACGTTAAAACTTTTCTCATGTTTGGAATAGAATTTGAGCTGCATTTCCTTCATCTTTTGCTGCTTTGATTTTAGATGAGTCAGGCAAAATGCAGTAAATGAAAGTAAGAATAAGAAAAAATGCAGAGCCAAGATTTCACTCAATTTCAAAAAGCGAGAAAAATAAGGAACTTGCTCAAAGGAGACTGAATAAGCACAATAAAAACACAGTCAAGAAAAAAAGTCAAGAAAAATGTTCTCTCACATTGCTCCAAAATGCCTGCTAATGTGATTGCAGGAGCTCTACCAACCATCTAGATCACAAGGAAACTATTCTGCCTCTTCTAATTAAGATCAGCAGCCACAAAACTTGCTGTGGGTCAGCTCAACAACATAAGGTTGTGTTGTGATGGGATCACCATAGAACTGTATCAGGCCATTGTCATGAAACAGCTCTGTCCTGCAAAGCATTTACAAGTCTAAAAGAGGGTCATATGAGACACAGCAAGAGTTTTATGAGATTCAACAAGAGGGTCATATGAGACAACGAGAGATACAACCATGAGATACAAGAGTTTCAGCAGGGCATAATTAAAGCTTTTGAACAGTTAGAACCAGATGATATTTTAAAAAGTGTGTTACAAAATACAGAAGCCAGAACATGTCAACTGAAGGGAAAAAGAGTTGTCCCATAGCTTGACACAGTGATCTCCACTAAAAAAGAAATCTCTTCTGCCAGAGATCCTATCCTATCCCGAATTCAGCCACTTTTTAAATCTGCTGGATAATTCCTTTCTGCATTACATTCAACTTCAGTCAGTATCTATACACACAGTAAAAATACACTGTATATAGGCAAGTGCTTAAGCAGATCTGGCTTCCAGACCTATTTGAACTGGAACATTTTTACAATAATAACTTGTTTACATTTCATTACTTTAGGGCTCTAATTCCAATATCCTGATCTTTCCTTCTGGAAAAATTCACTCTAATCTCAATAAAGTGTATGCACCAGTTGATATTTGACTACAGTTTCAATTGCACAAAGGGAAAGGAATGGAAAATTGTTATAACTGGTGGAGTATAATTTTCTGTTTCTTAACTTTTTTCTCTCAGAAATTAAAATGTTTTATTTGTGACATTTAAAAAGTAACAATTCTTGCATACTCCAAAACCTTATGACAACCTTGGTGGGTGTGCATTTACGGTTTCCAGTTCTTTAGAAAACTGTGCTGCCCTCATACAACAGAGGTGAATAAGAAGTACATGCTTCACAATTCAGTGAAATGGGAGGAGAGGAGAGCAAGAGAGAAAGAAAACAGAATTACTGAAGTAAAATAAATGTTATGGTTTTGTCCTTTATGAGAGAGATCAAAGATCAGAATCACCCACTTGTAACAAATCTGTACAAAACCTTTCTTGGATGGAGTTTGTTCCAGGTCTGAGAAGAATTAGGTCACCGAAGCGTGATGATTCAAAAAACCAAAACCAAAAGAACCCAAGAGACTGAAGTGAAGATAGATAGTTAAATAAATGAAATACAACATAATATACTTAGGTCTGAAGCCAAAGGTTTGAGGATCGGGGGGTTGGAGGGGGTTGAATGATTTGCTGGTACCTGGTGTGGCTGTTGGATGACAGGCTCTCCCAGGGCTGTACGCTACAGCCTGTGATTGCATAGGCTCCCCCGCAGCTCCCATCTAATTTCATCAGCAGGGCTTTCGCTGCATTCTCAGCTGTCTTCCTGCAGTCATGCGCTCTCTTGAGCATCTGGGTAATGTTTTCATCACCTGTTTGGTCCCCTAGTTTGCAAGCAAATAATTAGTGTCAGAGCTTTAAAGAAGCTCAGAAAAATTAATGTAAGACTTAGGATTCTAGGAGGTAGTTTCACTTCAAACTGAGACATTAGTAATGAATTAACAATGTGATATACAGAGAGCTCATCTTCACTGCTGTGTCAGCATAAGCTGTAAATTTACCTTCCCCCCCAATCCACCTCTCATTTCCATACAGAAGAGTCAATGTCGAGGTAAGCATTGCTTTAAATTTGGGCTACTAGGCCTTTGGGGCGGGTGAAGTGGTAGCTAGCTAAAGATACAGTGCTGCCGATGCTCAGGCTAGCAGCACACAACTCATCTGCTGCCAATCCAATCACCCTGCGTAGCTCCAGGGTTGTTTTGCTGTATGGTCACTTGTGCACCTTTTCAGTGGAGCAGGGCTACCTTGCATGGACTAACTCCAGGGTATTAGTCAGGCCAACTGCTGGAGCAAAGACAGAGCATTGCTCTGATAGGCATTCTTAATTCCACACTACAAGTCAGTATAGCACAATGCTGCCAGACAGAACAAACAGGGGGCAGTTCGCTCTATGCAAGATTGTCATTTAATCCTCGTCTGAGCCAAGGATTCTATATCCATATTCTACAAATAAATCAAATACTCTTATTTTGATGTTAGCTCTTCAGACCAGTTGCCCTTAAACACTGCATGAAAATTTGAAATCAAGATTATTTTTTTTAGGATTAACCAGTCAGGCTCCTCTCCTTCACAGAAGCAGTGACCATTACATATACAGGTACTGATGTGAAGCCTCTGTGGGGGTTAATAACAGTACAACAGGCAGGGATGAGCACAGGATTGGGAGGCAGGAGACCCAAGTTCCATCCCTAACTTTGCCACTGGCCTACTGTGTGACTTCAGACAAGCCACTTGATGTCTCTCTGCCTTTATTTCCTCCCTCTCTCTACATCTATTTAGACTGTAAGTCCTCCAAGGGAAGGGACCTTTTTCATGTTATGCATTCGTACAGTGCCTTTACAATGGTACTCCAATCTCAAGTGGGCTCTCTTGGTGTTTAAAGTGCTAAAGTAAAATATAAAGATTAAATAACGGAGAAGTGCAGATACCAGGACATTCAAAGTGGTGATTAGCACAACTTTCTTTATCTAATCAATTGATTGATCATGTAAGGTACAGGAGGAACAACATAAAGGTTTCACACTAAATAACCTGGGTTTTACATATGCCTTTCCAAACTTCAGCATGATACCTGTATTTTCCCAGGTGCTACTCACCCTCAAATAAGATACACACTTTGTTCTGAGAAGGGAGAATGGTGAAAGAAAGATTTTTTTCTAGAATCATGGCTGAATTCTGGCTGCTGGGGTAGTGTCTACTTAAAACTGTCACTCACCCCCTCCTTTTCTGCTCACCAAAAGCTGTTGCCAATTAATTTGGCAACAGCTGCGATGGGGTTAAACCTCTAGCTTTTGGCTGAGCAGCAGACTGTCTCCTACCATGTGGCCAGAGGGCACCAGCCCCCAGCAATCATTCATCATGCTTGCATTCAGGTACAGAAATCAGCTTCCTTGCTTAAAACATATACCCAAATTTTGGAAGGCTAATTTTTGGGGAAAAGTTGCAAGTGATATGCAAGTAAATATGGTATATATACATTAAACAACAACGACAATAACTACAGCAACACTATACTGTTAACCTAACCCTTTCAACTCCTTTTTGGGTTTTTTCTGGGGATTGATACTAGACTGTAAAAGTTATTTGCTCAAATACTAGCAAAGAAAATCCATATCTGAGTAAACATGATTTTAGGATCTTAATATGCATTTTTTATTTGTGGTTTAAATCCAGATGTTCTTATCCCAGAATTCATCTGGTTAGTGCTAAGACAAGTTTCCCCTTAAGGCCAATCAAAGTTTATCTAAGTATTAAGTAAAGGTATCTGGTCTGGATACCAAATTAGTTATTTTAGCTAACAAATCCTTGCTGTTTAATTATCAAGTACTTTTTATAGTGATAAATGAAGGATTAACAAGTAAGAACAGATTCATCATTTGGGATTTGTGTGAATTTTGAAAAGACTTTTCCTTGATAAAATGAGTTGGCTCTTGGTAGACATTTCTTGTATAATGTTGAATATAACTAAACTGATTTTTTACTTTAAACTGATATATAGCAAAACCTGTTGCAAGGTCAAGTTTTTTCAGACCAAATTTCAGAGCAAATTAAATTTTATAGCCAGGCATAAGCCACTGAACAAACACGATTTACGATGAAAATCCTGGCACAGAATTCACTACAGGGCTGTGACTCATAATGCTAACATTAAAAGAAACTGATGACAGACACCTATATAAATGTAGGTTACACCCTCTCAAGTTGGATCAGGGCAGAAAATTAATATCCAAGGAACCTCCTTTTCCAGATTTACTTTCTTGGCTATTCATGTAAATAGTAAAATCTAAGGCTTAATGCACCCTTATTCCTACATGTCCCTCCATAAAAAAACTGCAGTACAAGTTCGATACCATACTGCAGAAAGGAAGGGCTGAAATCCAGAGTAAAAATGGGATGAGAAAGCATCTGCTATGACCTTTCCTGCATGACATATACTACAAGGAGGAACACACCTACACAAACACTTCTGTAAACCTCTAGGAGAGATACAAAATAAACAGCTTGGAAACAGCACAGTTACTGTGGATCATCGCATCTAAGCTGTTGAAACAAGAGGTTGAACTCATCTGTCTCATGGCTCTGAAGGCAGCTGGTCATTTGGTCCTTAAAAGCTTTCAGTTTACATTTCAGTGGTGCTATAAATTATAGTCTAAAACGGGCAGTTTCTACCTCTCAGCACAGCATTGAAAGCTATGTTTCCTCTTTCTTAAGATCTCTCCACTTTCCAGCCCAAGATTACTACTACTACCTTCCCTCAATAGGAAGAGGAATAAGCCTCTCTAAAACAAACATTTTGACTGGGCAAACACACATCTTCTGACAACAAAAGGAACAAGTGTGTATGGAATTCCCCATGTACCCTGCTAAAAAATGCCCCTAAAGTGCCTTGCTTTGTGGTTAAGAGAGCATCATCTTCAAAAGCAGGTTTCTATACCAGTGTTAATGAGTCAGTGTGTGCCACTGAAGCTCCTGGTTTATGTTCACTTAGAGTAATCTGATCTGATCCCAACTACTATGCCTTCTGCCATGCAATCAGAGATAGGATCCCAATGGTGCCATTACTTCTTGCCAGTGCAGGGGAATCCCAGGATCTTGGTTTCCCTCTGCACTGGCAAGTTGAAAGCCGAGTGCCCGTAGCCTGCCAAACCTGAGTGGTTTTGGGGCTGGGACTGACAATTAGCCCTAGGGTTACACTGGGGCTGCTTCAAGACTCCTGTGCCGTTGTGGGACTGGAGCAATCAGTTGATTGTTGGTCCAAGCCCCAGCATGGTTCCAGACTTGCGCAGTCTAGGTGCTGGGACCAACGATCAGCTGATTGTCAGTCCCAGCCCTGAGACCACACCGGAGCAAGTTCCAGACTCAAGGCTGAAACTTCAAACAATGCAGCAAACCATTAGAATGAAAATGTTAAGAAATAAAAAAAAAATGAAGGCTTGGCGGTAAAGACTGCACTAATATGTGCCCATAATTTTCGTGGCTACATAAGCACCTGCAATAATTGCAAGCACAAATTTTGTGACCCTTACCAGGATGTGAAATGTATGCTTGGATGTTTCAGTTTAAATCACTGTACTCTGTATAGATTGTTGTCCAATAAAGTAACTTTGCCAGTCCAGAAGATGCATTTTCTGTAATCCTATATATGATTTATTTTACACTTGTAGTTCTTTTTTTGCCAAACATTTTACTTATCCACTTGAAAACATGATAAAAGCAAACATTTTTGACTTGTGGATTGCAAACAGTTATGAGATGATTGACTGCTACAAACAAGTCTTCAAAGCTGATGAATATTCACTGAAGTGCAGAATGAATTAAATTTAAATAAGGTGACTCATTGAGTTCTTACCGACAGACGCAACACCTGCAGCTCGGAACTGTCCAAGAATAAGACTCTGTTCACTTTCAGCCAAAGCAAGTAGCAGTTCATATGCTTCTATGCACTGCTCACTGAAAAAAACAAAACACAAACCATAATATGTGCAATTTAGACAGGAAAAAATCAATATCAGCAATCAGCAGTGCACAAGTGGTAGCTGATGAACTACGTTATTCCCCTTTACTTGTATGATAGCAGGAACATTAAACTACATGACATATATAGTTTCTATCAAAAATGCTCAAGAAGCCTCCCTGTGATGGTGTTCTATAGTTGATGCTTGCTCTTTTAACAGTCTGGTTTAGCAAGAGAAAACAGGAGAAACAGATGCGAGGAAAACCTGGCTCTCTTCAGAAGTGTGGATGGCACAGGACAGTAACATGACTTGTGGATATTTCTTTGTGAAACTGAATTTCAAGAATTCTTACTGTACCAAAACCTACGCAAAAACAAAACCCCCAAACCTCAAAATCTTTGGAAAATGCTTTGCTCCCGCACCCCTCCCCCCAAACCAATGAGAAAACTACTGAAAACTTCTGTGAACTCCCTGTTTTTTAATATGCAAGAAAAAAAGTATATATATTTTTAGACAAGATTCTTTGGGTAAATCTGATATATTTTATTAGACCAACTCAAATAGTTGGAAAAAAATCTTTGCAAGCTTTCAGGCACAAACACTTTTTGTCAGGCTGAGGAAGCATCTACTGGTTTGTGCTCTTCCTATACGGAATGAATAGTAAAGAAGCCAAAGGCTGGTCTATATGCAAGAAAGCCAGTCAGAGACAATGTAAATTAAGGAGTCAACGGGTGAAAGATTTTTCCCCCAACTATTTGAGTTGGTCTAATAAAAGATATCAGATTTACCCAAAGAACCTTGTCTGCCTATGTCCTTAGACCAACACAACTACAACTTATACCTCTATACGTTTTTGTAATTTATGTTTACAGCTAGCTTTTGTTTGATTAAATCCCTTAAAACAACTTGCTGGTCTCATAGGTGTCTTGTGCAAATTAATCATGGTGGCAAGAATGCCCAAGTGACATGATTTTCACAAGTATTTTAAAACCAATTCAGAATTTGGCTCCAAATTGCTGGCATCCTTATGATGTCAGCTGAAATCATGGTTTATGGAAGTTGTTGGTGACTCAATGTTTCTGCTTGGCCCACTGAACATACAAAAATGGACAGATTTACTGAAGGATAAATCAATGTCTCCAATTTATCCAAAGACCAGGTATACCACAATCAACCACAGTGGAAGATTTTTCAGTGACCATCAAACATTCCTCAACTTTCATCTAAAGAGATAATGGCTAGCAGAAGCGTAATATGAGGTGGGCCAGCGGGGAGCATGCCCTGGGCACTCCCTACAGAGAGGGTGCCAGAAGGATAAGGAGGTGGCACCCCATTCTGCCATCCTACACTGCCATCATAAAGGGCTACAGGAAATAGGTGGCACAGGCAACGTGGATCAAGGAGTGCAAAGTCTTCTGGGAATCACAGTTTTGTAGAACAGCAATGGAGTTTGCTGTTGCTGCTGCTGCTTGGGGGAGAATTGACTAAATTTCTTCTTGCCTAAATCAGCATTTTTTGCCTTCTTGACATGGGCATTGGTGGCAAAAAATGGGGCAACTCCCTTCCTCCCAGCTATGTGGGCTCCTACTGCCACCCTAGAGAATTAAAATCCCCAGAACACCTTGTATTCCATGACACGCTGCCCAGCCATATTCCTGGACACCATCTCATGCTGAAGACAGAAGCAGGGAGGGGAAGGGTGAGGGAAGATTGCCCCAGATGTGTTCTTCAGACATGAAACCTCTGATGACTAGGATGAGAGTAGGGAGTTCTTCTTGTTCAGAGAGCCAGTTCAGTAAAGGCACCAATGATAATGGCTCTCTGTATGAGGAGATGGGATTTAATACTTAACAGATCTCTAACACTAGTGCATTTCTGTTAGCAAAGGGAAATATCTAAAGAAATATACTCTCCACTATCTATCATATTATCCTCATGAGTTGCTTGCAACTATCACTTTTATCTTTAATTTGGTATCACCTTTCTTCAGTAAAATGTGTAATGTTGATTTAATGTGCATGTGTGTGTGTAGGGGGGGAATAAATAACCCCTCCTCCCTAATTTTAACTTTCACTATGTATTGGCAAAAAGAAGGAAAGCTAGTAAGGGTTATTAAGTTCATTTCTGGTGCCTGATAACAGCTGAGCTGCATTATAGATGATAATTCCAGTTAGGCAGCGATGTTTAAATGACCAGCATTCTGGAGAGAAAGAAACAGAGGCAGGTTTGTCACTGTGGAAAACCACTTCTTTCGTCTGAAGTTCTTCAGCAATTCCTGTGCCCTGCCTTGTTCAGGCTGAATTTCCCTGTCTGTGTAGAGACATACCTGTATTGCAATGCCAGTCGGAGTGCTGTGGTGTTTGATTCATATTTTCCAACCAGCATGCTCATCCTCTCAGCATTGCTCTTGCACTCCTCCAGAGTGATTGTTAACAGATCATTCTGGGATTTTAAGTGCTCGATACGGCTGTAAACAAATAAATATAATTTAACTTTCTAACAGTCTGCAGTCTATTTGCCTTGAAACTCCAAAATGATCCTAGTTTAAAATGTCAAAGCTCATTTGGCCTACAGTTTTCTTTCCTTAACTCCTGTGGCAAAATCCATCAAATCCATGGACTGTAACATGAACAGAGAACGATACTTACTTAGATTGTGGGGGAGGAGGGAGAAATCAATAAAGCATTCCCTTTTGAATTAACTGCAACCCGAAAGCTTTTTTAACAGCACAGTTTTATTACTGTTAGTCTTACCCTCCCTCCTCCATTCTTTCCTCCTTTTTTACACACTTGCATCTTGACTTTAAATGCAAGTTTCTTGCAGCACAAGGACTGAATACTATAACTGCATTAAGTGCCCAGTGTCATTGCATTTGCTGAATAATTTTATTCCAGGATGTAAACTTTGATGCATAAATGTATTGTCAGAATTAAGCCACTGTTAGATTTGGGGTCAGGAAGGAAATTTTGCCTCAAGTTAGACTGGCAATGCCATTTAGATTTTCTTGCCTTCTTCTAAAGCATGGACTTACGGTCCTTTTCCTGTGATCATCTAAGTATATTTTAAGTTGAAAAATTCCCTGCCATTACAGTGGCCAAGGCACTGACAATGTCCTTGCCTCCCCTGCTCTTTACTTGTGGTCCCCTGTTAAGGAGTTTTAAAGACCGCTTTGCGGCTGTGGTGCGTGAGGGAGAGTAGAGTCATCGTTTTGTGGACCATTCTGGATGAACAGTAGCCTGCAAACCAGGTTGCTGGGACATCCCTTCCAGTTCAATGCTCCTATGCTCAGACCATCATGTTTACAAGGATAACTTTTGAAATCTGAACTGAATACAAACAAGACAGCAAGTCTCAGAGGCTGGACAACAGATTGAAACAATAGGCTCAGATAAGGGGTCAACTGTGCCATCCATCTCAAAGGAATGTTAACCCATAAACCTAACAACAAAATTCTAAATGCCAACAACATTGGCTATGTCACTACTGACCACTGTAGCACAGAAACCAACTGACTGGACTGAGCCATCACTACTGAATATAGTGACAGATACTGGGGCACAGGCAAGTAATTGCCATCAAGATTTATTAAGGTAAGAAATGAGGAATACACCAGCACCCAGCACTGTCACAAGTGTTATGTTCCTTCCAAAATCAGCAAAAAAGCTGCTACAGCTCTTTGTCAATAGTGAACCTCAAATTTTTCTTTGTTGTTTAAAGTCCTAACTTTTCCCTTCATCCCAGCTGATGAAGCCTCCAGCTCACTCTGACAACCACTGCTACGTTATGTGCTATCAATGCAAAATTCTGTGGCACAAAGAAAAAGGGGAGAACAAACATAAAATGAATGAATATCAAAATATACAAACAAAAGGGAGGCTGTATTGATTGAACAGGACTGGACCTGGGAAAATCAGTGGAAAGGAGAAAGCATGGAAGTGTGATGCCACAGAACTCTGTGGTATCTACTGAATTATAATGACATAATATGCTAAATAAGACATGAATATCTTTGATTATGGAAGAACTATCCTGCACAAGTAGTAACAGTAGCAGAACACACTGTATCTTTCACTACAGCTAAGATCAGGATGCCCACTGATGCAATTTACTTTGAAAAATACACAGTTTTCAGAATGGCAAACTGGTCACTCAAGCCCTAACATTTTTATGCTTTAGGATATATGCCATATTTACTGGTCCACCTCTATGTCCCAAGGTGTAATGACAGCTTGATCAATTCCATAACAAGCAGAAGTTAAACTGGGGCAATATACCTGAAATGAAACAGCTGTTATATTGCTATAGGTTAGCTTTCCCTAACTAAGTGGGAACAATAAAGAGTTGCAGTGGAACAGTGGGATGATCAGTGGATCTGCTCCCTTTCCCTGCCCCACCCCCTTTAAATCAATATAATTGTTTCATCTGTCCACACCCAAAGATTCAATTCTACTATATGCCTTAGCATGGTTAACTACATTATCATATTGGTAAAAAGAACTATTAATTTGCATTATAATCTCCTGATCATCCAAGTTTCACACTTATTTGAACTTGGCTCCAGCAAAATTCTAAGTTATGGGGCAGACAATGAAGAAAAAACACTAGTTTAACAAAACTAACTGTAGACAAAATACTTCATATCATCTGACCTCACGTCTTACCTATTTAACCTCTCAGTTTCCACTTCAAACTCTCGGATTTTACTTTCAGAGATAGCAGATCCATGTGAATAGAGTGTCTGGAAGATTTCTTGGATGTTGGAACAGTCTTGAAGGGAATGGGCCAAGTGTTCAGCCACACTGCTAGACACCTGCACAGGGTGATTAGTAAACCTTCTGTCAATGGATAAGCATAAAATTCAGTCCCTAAGTATGCTGAGCCACTGAATGCGTCTACTCAGAGGCAATGAGGTCAGAAGAGTCAACTATGAATGGGGCACCACTCAAAACACATGATGAAGCCCACTTTCACACCAGCAGGA